GTTCACATTTTTCATAGGCATTAAAAACATATGCAAATTATTGAATGCAAGCTCATGAAAGATGAATGTATGAGTACATACTAAGTACGAGTGCCTCAGAAACAATGAAAGTTAGAGAACTCAAAGTGTTTACATTTTCAGACATAAAAATATTAATTATGACATCACTTTTACTACTACATATTATTTTTAGGATGAATTAGAGCAGGCATGTGAAACTTTATCACAAATGGTTGCCAGGCAGTTCCTTTGTACACCGCGACCCAAGGTCATTATGACAACTGCCATTGTTCAACGTAAACGCGGGGAGTTCCTGTCAGCTGTTAGCAAGGGGTTCTTGCCTCCGGACTCATCACCCCGCACACAGCCTGTCAGAAGGGATTCGGATGAAACAGATGATGAGGTAAATCAAACATTTTTTTATATTTTTACATCCAGATAATCTTTAGTGCTTTTTTGCAAATGGAGTGGTATTTTTAAAACAATTATTCATGAACGTGCTGTAAATTTTGTTTTGTTGTTTTGTTATGGTGCTTTATGCCTTTGTTTTTTTTTTACATCTTTTCTACGTTTGAAGTTTTATTCTTGTAAAATGCAAACATTAAACAGAGCTTATCTAGATCATTAAGAATTTTATCACATTTCTTTATCAACTGACTAGACAGCTTTATACGCCAGTGATAATGGCATCATCAGGTGTATGATGACGTACGCCTTCCGGCAATTGAAGGTGTTGCGTGCCTCGGCCAGGTGAAACCATATCTGTTCATTATTAAATCATGAGAAGTGAATTTGCATGTGTACTCCAAGTAAAATAAAATGTAAAGAAAAGGAAAAGACGATGTACAATCATTGAAGGTTGACTTGCGGAACATAAATTTTTTTTAAATATAATAAAATAGAACGTTATATAGAAAATATAATAGAAAAATAAAATAATAGAAAATTTCCATTCTATTGTATTATATGTTAATAAATTTGTGTTCCTCAAATCAACCTTCAATGACTGTACATCGTCTTTTCAGTGTTTTTACATTTTTGTTTACTAATAGAATATATATCAGGAAGTTTTATAGGGTACCACAGTCATGTCGTCACGACGCCGGGTGCCGCTCTCTGTTGTCAACAGACGTAGATTACCGTTCATTACGCCTGAATGACTGCATAGACTTTCTGGAATAGGCATTTTGAAATCTAATATTTTGCCATCAAAATGTACTAAAAACACAAAAGTCACGTTATATTAGTTATTGAACATACATTTAATCATCAATTAAAATTTACAAAGAAAAAGTAGGATACAACATCTTAATAATTACGTTAGAAATTGGGATCATTGGTTTGTCAGTGGAGAAAATGGGTCCGGTTCAACTCATTTTGTGTTGCCGATAGCAACGGGGTAGCATCACGTATCGTGACGTAACACTGTAGTACTCTATAGAGGAACAGTTCTAAAAGTATCATGAAAAATAATCTGATGACAATATCTGAAATTAAGTGTCGTAAAGCTATAGGTAAAACAATCAATTGACCATTAGTATAAAATGTAAGCCCTTTTCTTCCCAGATGAAGACAGAGAGGACGAAGTCTCCGATCCGGTTCATGGTGATGTAAGACTTTCCAATGGCCAGTCATCAAATGAGGGACGTCTTGAAGTATACCTAGATGGCTCCTGGGGCACAGTCTGTGATAAAAACTTCGACGACGGTTTAGCTGATCTCGTGTGTCGTCAGCTCGGTTACAACGGTAATGGAGAGGTTATTGAAGGCGGGAGTTTTGGTCCTGGTTCCGGTAAACATCTACGGAACATCAAATGCAATGTAACTCATGCGGGAAAACTCGCCGACTGTCAAAGTCAGTCAGGGATCACAAAACGGTGTACGCACAACTCAGACGTTGGTGTCAGATGTCATGGAGGCAAGTGGATAAAAGTCATCATTGTAGATTTTTTTTATTCATTCAATATGTAATTTAATTACTAGTACGATATCAGTGTTAAAAAATGACCTAACTATAATGCCATGAAGAGTTACCGGTATTTATAAAGGTAGCAAACAGAAATGACGTAACATTAAGAGATGTCGATATTGACGGTATAATTACAGTTGAAGGAATTAAATTAGAACTTTAATATCTGACCAACATAAAACCATAATGCAACAGTTGAAAACTTAATATTTAATTAACAACAGTAGAAATGTCTATAATGTACTATAGCAAAGCATTTTATTAAACACAACAGCACCACATTCAAGAAGACATTAAGTAGGCCTAATTTTTCTTTCAGTTATTGCAACCGACACTGAAAAAGAAGACGCTAAAAACGAAGAAAATTATGATGACGTGTCCATTCCAGTTCATGGTGACGTAAGACTTGTGAAAAATGGTACCACATCATATGAGGGACGTTTAGAAATCTTTCTGGAGAACTCCTGGGGAACCGTCTGTGACAAAAACTTTGACGACCGTTTAGCTGATCTCGTGTGTCGTCAGCTCGGTTACAACGGTACTGGAGAGGCTCTTGAAGGCGGAAGGTTTGGTCCTGGTTCCGGTAAACATCTACGGAACATCAAATGCAATGTAACTCATGTGGGAAAACTCACCGACTGTCAAAGTCAGTCAGGGATCACAAAACGGTGTACGCACAACACAGACGTTGGTGTCAGATGTCATGGAGGCAAGTGGACATAAGTCATCATTGTAGATTTTTTTTTATTCATTCAATATGTAATTTTATTACTGAGTACGATGATATGAATGTTATTTATTTTGTATTTCTTCGAATCTCTTAAGTAAAAAAATTACCTAACTATAATACAATACCATGAAGAGATACCGGTATTTATAACGGTAGCAAACAGAAATGACGTAACATTAAAAGAGATGTCGATATTGACGGTGTCATTACAGTTCAAGGAATTAAATTAGAATCTTAATATCTGACCAATAAAAACATATAATGCTACAGTTGAAAACCTAATATTTAATTAATTAACAACAGTAGAAATGTATAATAATGTACTATAGCAATGCACAATCAAGAAGACATTAATTGTGCCTAATTTTCCTTTCAGTTATTGCAACCGAGATTCAAAAAGAACACGCACATTTAAATTTAGTTCAATCAGAGGTCTAGGTGAAATTTTATTTTGAGAATATTGAATGACGCAATTCTCAGCTCGAAGTACATTTTTAGATATACCGCGGGGGTTTGCACTATACAATCTGGCGTTGATTTTTACTGAAAGTAGTTATGGAACGGTTTTGCAAATTTATATTGTAGACGTTGTTGATGAAAAACCTGATCAGCAAAGCACATCAGACAACAATGGTGAGAAGACTGACAACATTACGAATACCCAACCACAAAATGGTGAGGTTCGACTGATTGATGGTGACAGGGTAAGTGAGGGACGCCTGGAGGTGTTTTTGTATGGCCGATGGGGAACGGTCTGTGACAAGAATTTCGACAAGAGTCTAGGTGAACTTGTCTGCCGTCAGCTTGGATTTACAGAGGTGGCCAACGTATTGCCTGGCAGTACTTTTGGCGTCGAAACTAGTAAACCAATGCACATGCGTAACATCAGATGCTCCGAGAATGCAACGGCAATTGGAGAATGCGAGTACCAGAGAGGACTAACACATCGCTGTAGTCACAATACTGACGTTGGCGTTGTATGTAGACAAGGTAAAATATTAAATCTCATTTCATTATTTCATAAAATATATTTAAATATAATTATGATAATGCACCTACTGGTCTACTTTATTCTTTCTTTATTCTTTTAAAATTTACCAAAGGTGCGAAATTGTATGTAAAATAAAAAATGACGGATTAATTAAATATAGCCTACTCTAATTAATAACCCCTCCAGTTAAAGACCACAGAGTAATTGTCCTAAATTCATAAAAAAATCTTTTACCTTTATTATTCTAATTAGAGACCAAAACTTAAGATGCTAAAGACCATAGAAACACAGGTTCCCCACCATACAAAAATCTGCGTAGACATATTTTCTGCCTGGTTCCGGAGGCCATGCTAATACTTAAAAAAACATAGGCCTAATAATAGTGTAACATAATGCGATTCGTATTATTTACGCCATTCTATCCTGTGATATGCTCTACTAAAGCTGCTGCCACCGTTACTGCGGCTGTTATACTACTACTGCAATAATACATAATAATAGTGTATCGTATTGCAATAATTACAACTGCCAATTATATTTCGTCAAATTTACTACATGCTACCCTTAAGCATGTTAATGATTTAATGATCTAACACATGTAGATATAAACAGGATACCAATCATCAATATTTTATAACCTATCATTGATGCGTTGCTGGACATGGGCGTACTACAATTCTGTGTCGAGTATCTCTGAATTAAATAAAATACCGTACTGTACTATAAAATACTTAGGCTATACTATGTCTTCTATGTCTGTTTTTGAAACAGAACATATGGCTTTTCCTTACTGACATTGCTGAAATAAAAAAAAAGTAAATAATGTGTATTAAATGATTTATAAATTTAGAAAAATAAATAAATAAGTTACTCGAAGTCTTGAATTAGGTCTACTATTGTATTGGTGGGTGTGGTGTGGAGAGTTCTAATCTTAGCGCTACAGAATATGTGAAAGTCAATAAATGTTCAGTCTACATGTATCTAACTTTTGTAAATGCTCTAGGTTAGGGAAAAAATCGTGTATGTACCTAACAGTAGTTTAGTTTTGAACCTTGAAATAAAAAACGCAAGTAGGTCAAAGATGTTATAATTATCCGTTCATTTTTTCCCTTTGTTTTCTATATTGATGTGTTAGCCATAACGACGGAAGTGGCCAATCAAAGTAAGTAATCTTAATGAACGAAAAAAGACTTATAAGTAAGCAGTAAATTTGCTTTCAGATTTATAATATTTTGTGTATATGATACAGCAGGTTGTATATGTATAATGTAAACAATGCCATAGCCCTTGTTGACTTGCTGACAAAATAACCCCATAATATAAAAACTACGTTAATCAAAACTCAATATTTATCGCTTGTAAAAAGCTAAATGTTATAATTGTTCAAAAGTTTTATCACAATATATATTTATCAAACTCTACAACAAAACAAAAAATAAGTAGAAAAGAAAAACTAAAAATGTAAAATACATGAAATATAAATAAATACATTCATTCTTTTATGGCACAGACATATACGGTAACATTTTCGGGTACGAGTATTTTACTTAATGTTCATACTAGATGTTTTGAAAAGATAGCAGGGACTGAACTCAACATTTGAATTATAGGCGTAATAAAATACAACATATATTATTACAGTAACAACGAATGCTGTTTTTGTTGTAGTCCTGTAATTTTCACCGCTGTCTCAATATTTATCGCTTGTAATTGTTGATATTGTTAATGTTGTTCATGTTGTTTTTGATATATAGCCCAGCAGTATTATTGTTATGGATTTATCATGTTGTACCTGTCGGCAAAATATGTGCGTACTCTACGTAGTGAAATATTTTACTGTCAGATATATACACCTTACTTGTTATTTCTAGAATCGATCGTGAATGAAAGCCTAATTTTAGGCTCACGTGATTAAAACATGGGCTGTATTTTTATGTTTCAGTAGACATGGTAATAAATAACGGGATTTTGATTTATTGATTGAACTTTCAAATACTTCCGTAAATGTTTATTTTAATTCATCAATAAAAATAATATGTGCATTTTATATCAAATGTACATTCTATTAGTCTTTTTGACAAACTTAATTTAACTTCTTAATTTAGCTGCTGAAGGAGACGTTCGTCTGACATCACCAGAGAACGAAGTCGGCTCTGGACGTTTAGAGGTATTTATCAACGACCAATGGGGGACAGTATGCGACGTCAAATTCAACATAGAGCACGGAAATCTTGTATGCAGGCAGCTAAACTTCGAATCTGCAGTTGCTATAGAGACCGACAGTTTCTTTGGCAAAGGAACGGGAATGCCAATGCACATGCGCAATTTAAAATGCAATGCAACTGCGCAACGCATATTCGACTGTGGCTATAACAGGGGCTTTACCAACAGATGCACACATGACACGGATGTTGGGATTAGATGTCAGGTGAGAATTTTACATTAACATTAAGCCTGTCTCTCAAACCAATAAAAAATAAGACCCATTAAATTGAACCACAAGTATTAACTAAAATTGTCTTCCACTCATGAAGCAAAAACACACTAAGTTAAGAGATGACCATTACTATTACATAACTTAGTTAAGCCGAGCACTCACTGAACGACGGTCGCCAGTCGACGCAATTCTATGGAGAACGCAAATTCACGACGCGCGCGCAACGGGTCGTTTTTAATGACGATCCGTTCAGACTGTCATCGACAATAGGGCGCTTTCGATTGCACGACGACGGTAGGACGTAGAACGTAATGACGTCACTAAATGTCATCAGCGCATGCGAGAACGTTAAAGTCACCTCCTAGAGTAGTTTTTGGAACGCAATTTGGCCAAATCTACGTATGCAGAGAGAACGTAGGACGCCATGTGACGGTCACGCATGAGTGATTACGTTCTAGAGTCTCGTCGTCGCACAAATCGAAAGCTTCCTAATAATCAGCAGGCGGCGTCGTGTCGTTACAAACGCTCACAGAAAACGAAGTTGGAATCGTCCGCCGACGGACGTACGACGTCGTAAGACGCAGTGACTGCCCGAATTCAGTGCCATTTTCCCGCTATCTAGAGGTGCCGTCATCATAAAATATTCTTAACTTAGCCCCAACCATGGGGATTAGTCTACACCCTTCATCATTCAAAGTCCTACCCATTTTATTGCATTTCAGAAGTGAAGCGTGAGATTGAAGTAAACATTAACCATTCGAGATATGAAGTTTCTTCAAGATTTACGCCACATTCGTTGTTTTTGAAGTACAAAATGCTACTCTATGATTGTACCACCCGATAGATAATTATCGTTATTTTTCTTGACTGCATAATGGCTCTTAAAAAAAAGAGTTATTTTATGAACAAGTTCTAATAAATAGAAACAATTACTTGATTATTGCATTGTATGTAATCATGTTATGGTAAATTTTATTTTTATCCCTACGTGTATAAGTATAAAATAAATCATGTTATAGAATTGATATTTTATTTTATTTATTGTTTTGCTATTCTGACTTCCTTTTTTGAATATTAATGTCGTCGGAGCATGGTTACAGGCAAACACCAAGATATTTCTAGACAGTAGCTGCTGTTGCAGTACTCTTAACTGAACTTATAATTCTGAGTGGATCTTATATAGCCTATATCCAATGCATACATACTATAACCATCCTATACCTTCCTTCCTTCCTGCTCTCTATAATGTCGCTATAATAATAATAATAATAATAATAATAATAATAATAATAATAAAAATAATAATAATAATAATAATAAAAATAATAATAAAAATAATAATAATAATAATAAAAATAATAATAATAATAAAAATATAATAATAATAATAATAATAATAATAATAATAATAATAATAATAACAATAATAATAATAATAATAATAATAAAACAACAACAACAACAACACTGGGAAATTCAGGCTGGGTCCCCGGTGACCCGCCACTGCCATAGCTCGGCGCCAACTACCCCACTTAATCTACATCAAACGGATACAGACTGATACATACATGGTCCTTAACTCGCCTAACTCTCCTGAGAGGGTTATTCGAGGAGCTGAGCGTTTTGTTATTATAAAACACCCGAATTCAATACTCGATGCAGAGCCGGGTATCGAACCCGGGTCCTGGCGTGCAAGAGGCAGGAACCATACCAATTATTAGCCAAACGCTAACGAAAATATGGAAGTAGATATATTTGAAAAAAAAAAATCTGCATTGTCATTGCAGTCTGAGCAATTGGTAGGCCTAAACTTGAACGACAGAGTAATAAGTAATAAGAAACTTTCTGCTAACGTAAGGGATATGATAATGAACGGGTACGGGTAATCGCGGAAAACACGCAGACCTTCTGCAAATCTCGGAAATAATCCCGTAGACCACTGCGAACCTCCGCTAACGATCCCAAACACGTTGTCGGCGGAAACAACGATGATAATAAATAACGCTCGTTGTAATTTTTTTTAATGTTTTACAAAAAAAAAAAAAAAAAAAAAGTATTTTAAAAAGTATTTTAGTGCAGTCGACTGATACGTCGCTTCTAGGTTTTTAAGCGTCACCGCCGAGATTTTTACCGCCCACTGGCGAGTTCCTTTCTGCAGGAAGGTTTAGCCCATTGCAAGTTCTTGTTTTAGGCTGTGCCTGTTCAATAGAGTACAGTTCTTGATAATTTGAACATATCAATTTGTTTGTCTTGTTTTTTCCACATAACCACAGACCCTATGTATAAACAAGGTAATTCAACAAAAGGACGCACATCTCCGCTCTCGAACATAGCGCGTGCGTACAGTCCTTTGATCTTTACTGTGGCATCGACAATCCGATACTAGTTGCGAGTACAACCGTCAATTATTAGTCTATGCGTGCCATTCGTGTTATGGTGTTAGTTTTTATTTTATTAATTTTGGGTACTTCGCAATGTCTGTTACATTTGATTTTTTTTTACCGCGAGCTTGTTAAATGCTTCTATAAACTGCGATTTGATTTGTGAAAATTGACCAAGAAAATGAAAAGTTATAGCAATTCAAAATTTACGAATTTTATAAATTTCATGTTCTTATGTAACATTAATCTGTCATTTTGACAATGTTGGCATAAGGTGCCGAGGACGAACATTTGAGTACATACGGAACATTTATTAATTTTTTCTGCGAAGTGAGTCTAATGTTAGTGCAAAATATCATTAGGCCTTTGTAATCACCGCACGACGCGCGACTAACATGGCAACTAACACGCGCGTGGGTAAATCGTCACGTACGCTGACGGTTTATGGTCTGGTTGCTATGGTTTTTGTGACGTTCAGTGTGTAGGGACGCACGTGCGCCTAGAATGTCGATGCCCGAGTTATAACCTTTGATGTCCCGAGATGTGCGTCCTTTTGTTGAATTACCTTGGTATAAAGGATCTTTGACATAACAGAACACTTTTAATACTGCGCGCGTGTAAAATCTGAAAAGGGTATATAATATTTAACCTTTTAAAACGATCTTTCATTAGTGAAACACTATTAAAAATTCATTTCCCATTTATGCATAATAACGTATAAGATATGTCCGCTTTCAAGCATAGGCCTACTCATTTAATGAAGTTTAAGTCTTTGATATAGCAGTGTACTATTATTTTCTTCAGTTCAGAAAATGAGACACTCAAATTCCCTTGGCCGACTGTGAGCCCGTGCAGTTTATGAATGCCTTTGATAGAACTAAACATTTTTATCCCAATTAGATTAATATTTATTATATATTATATGTAACTGATCAAAAAAAAATTTCCACTCTGTTGCCGGTTCAAGCTAAGCGATCGGATTAGTGTAGGCAAAGTTATGACGTACAGAAACGACTACTCATAAGCCAGCTCAAATCCGTCTGAAAACACACTAATATAGCCTACCGTATAGTTTCGTAATTCAACCCAAAAATGACGGGGCCAAATATTTGAAAACAAATATTGTGTAAATCGTTTGCAATAGCTATATTTATAACCTTCTATAAACCGTTTCAACCTAATTTATCCGACCTCTAGTTATTGAGATTTTTGTAGCAAAATCAGTGGATGTTTTTGAAGAATAAGCGCTAATGGTTAAGAGACTGATTTTCCCGGCGGTGCGTTTGCAGTAAAGTAGACCAAACAAATTGATATGAAAATCAAACTTTGTTCCAATCAACACTCAGACTAAAATACAACTCACATTTTTTACATCAAAACATACATAAATTTATTCTTGAGTATTTAATAAACAAATAGATTACATTGCTTTGATGTCAAGGACCATAAAATTTCATGGATAATTACTGTAATCGAATGGACAGTACAAACACGGTAGAAATACCGTATGCAATAGAAAATCATCTCTGCTCCTTTAAGGAAAATACTCATGAAATAAATTGTAAAATTGGAAAGACCTTTCGGAATTAAAAAGTTATGACATATTATTGGTTCGTTCAGTCGATCATTTAGATTTATTACGGCTTATGTACGAAAGCCCATTTGTACCAAAAGAAGCATGTGCAGAATACTAATTGGAATTACTAATACTTTTTTTGGCTTTCGTACTTATGCAACTAGCAATTAATAAACAGCAAAGAGTATAGAATGGCCAACTATCCTTCTTAATTTTTGCTTGCACACAATAAAACTAAAAACAAAGTACTTAAAATTCAAACCGGAGTTTGTTCTTTACACGCAGCGTGCGTTCGTTACGGTACGTTACGAACATAGAGCTATTAAACAACTAGAGTGCTGACAAGATGGCGGAGCAATGCAGAGTTGTGTATGTGTACCATCCAAGATGGCTGCCGTAGGAAAGCGGCACCTTTAGGCTTAGTATACATATTATTACCATAAATAAGCCCTCTGACTGAATATATTTCATTAATGATAATTAGTATTGATAATGACAAATTATTAAACTGTCGTAGCCAAAAAGAGGCCAAGTAGAGCATCTTTTATTCAAATATTAAAAAGAATTAAAATCGTGTACATTACACCCATACACTGCAACGCTCGATTTTTAAAATACGGGTAACTAGCTGCACTGAACTTTCTGTGTAAATTGAGGGCGCAATTGAAAATGATAGTGCTCAGGGGAAATTTGATTGGCTGAATCTATGGCAGCCATCTTGGATGGTACACACACACAGCTCTGCGTATTTCGAACATCGAATCCATTGCTGTTAGCGCATTAGTATTCTTATTATATCTCTATGGTTACAAACGACTTTTTTGCATGACGCCCTCTAACTGGTGGTAGTAATTTTCGAGATAGGATTCCCTTTCAAGGAAGTACGGACAGTTAGACCTCTTGCCGTTCTGTACTCTATGCTATCAGTATTCAATATTTATTAGAAATCACTTTAGAATCAGTGGCACTCGCTAGTTTCTGAGTAATGCATCCAACAAAAATCTTAAAAATCGAGTACTGTACAGTAAACAAAGCAGTTAAAATAATTATCCCTAAAAAACATAAATATCCCTAAGCAAATGGACGAATTTCCTCGTTAGTATTTATTATTTTATATAGGCATGCAAAACATGCACCAAGGATTGTCAATAGCGAAAATTACCACTGTCCTACTTTGTAGGCGACAATCCCTTTCACAAGACAAACATACACACACGATGCTTTACACAAACTAAATCTCAATATGAGGTTTAGTTTAGTGGAGTTGTTTGGCCGTGAAATTTCTTAACTTGATGAACATACATAACAACACATGTATCATCGTCCGCATCCGTAACGTCTTTACTGATCAGAGTCCACTTCTTTTCCTTTTCTAATCTTTCCATTTCGGTTTCTAACTTCCCTTCGTTGTACATTGGGCAGTTTGTCATCCACTTTATACGAAATGAGTTGATGATGTAGCCACCTTTTTGAATATCAAATATAAAAAATTCATCAATAAAGGATAAAGTTAAAGATAAGTAAGTTACACATATTATTTCAAAATTCAAGCTACTGTAGTTATGCGATTTTTGTACAGGAGTGCGGGAAAACCCGAAACAAAGATACAAGAAACCGGGAAAACTTTCAACTATTCAAGGATTTAATATGCGTAACTTCTCGTAAAAAGAAACAGTTTGTAAGAATTTATTTTTCGCTAATTTGGTCCTGAATAAAGTAATAATTATAACAATTCCTAATTTTATTAATACAAAGTGAATGACTTGCAAGAATTTTATGAATCTCAGGTGAAGTAGGCCTACTGTAATAATTATCTAAAAATACTTGAACAACATTCATTTTTTGTCTATTTAGATGAGCAATTCTATGTTCATTTAGTATCGAGTATTTTGAAACCAACTTAAAGCCGTACACACCCATTTCTGTTATAGGCCCATGATAGGTATCGTTATTGGGGCTTAATGACACAATGAGAATCGCCACTGAAAACATATTTGACAAGCGCTTCACGGATTGTCTAGACCAACACAACGACTGGCTACACCAAAACGACTGTCGCCACACTGTATGCCCGGACTCACATAGTTTGAGGAGGTAGAACTTGAAAACATCATAGTGATACTTCCAAAAGGAAATTTGATTAGAACTACGACTTGTTGAACACAACTAACATCGATACGTAGCAGTCGATTTTTGCTAGTTAAAGTCTGCCTATAAGGTTGGGAAAATTCACAGACTATTCTTATTTTCTTCATTAAAAACCTATTATTTTAACGTAGTAGCTATGTCTACGCCGTATTATGCAAATCTCAACACACTGATTGGTCGACTTGGCTTTACCCTAACCTTAAAACATAACTCTGCCTATCTTAATGCACTACAGCATGACGTGAGATCGGCGTAGATGCAGCCATTTT